AGACTGATGTGACTGTGGGGGAGGGGACATTAGAGTGTAAGCTCCTCTGGTACAGAGACTGACGTGACTGCGGGGGAGGGGACATTAGAGCGTAAGCTCCTTTGGTACAGAGACTGACAGGACTGCGGGGGAGGGGATATTAGAGCGTAAGCTCCTCTGGTACAGAGACTGATGTGACTGTGGGGGAGGGGACATTAGAGCGTAAGCTCCTCTGGTACAGAGACTGATGTGACTGTGGGGGAGGGGACATTAGAGCGTAAGCTCCTCTGGTACAGAGACTGATGTGACTGTGGGGGAGGGGACATTAGAGCGTAAGCTCCTCTGGTACAGAGACTGATGTGACTGTGGGGGAGGGGACATTAGAGTGTAAGCTCCTCCGGTACAGAGACTGATGGGACTGGGGGGGGGGACATTAGAGTGTAAGCTCCTCCGGTACAGAGACTGATGGGACTGTGGGGGAGGGGACATTAGAGTGTAAGCTCCTCCGGTACAGAGACTGATGGGACTGTGGGGGAGGGGACATTAGAGTGTAAGCTCCTCCGGTACAGAGACTGATGGGACTGGCTCAATGTTCTCTGTACAGCGCTGTGGTATATGGCAGAGCTATAGAAATGTAATTTGGGCTTACATAGTCTCATGCACCTCGCCTGTCGCAGGCAAAGTGATCCTCTAACGATGAACAAACGATCAGACAATGAATGGAGGTCTTCTCCGAGACGCAGTCTTCTCATCTCCTGCTGAACACATGTCCAATGAAGGGGAGGTGAGGGGTCGTCTGTTTGTTTTATTGTCTGCCAGGATTGGTCCAGGGACGGGGGGAATGCCTCACCTACCGCGCACTACGCCATTCTTCACTGGAGAACAATTTAATCAGCACAAATAAACCAATTAGACTTTTCCCAAGAACGGCGGGTAACCAGCCATGTGGTCGGCAGAAAAAAAAAAAGGTTTTCTCGCGTCCCCCCTGTGAATAAAATGGCAGCAATAGAACTCACAGCTGCAATGACAACTCAGTGCAAGAACTGCGTATTTACAGGATATATATATATATAATTTATATATTTATCAAAAAAAAAATTCAAATTTGTTATGTTCAAGATTTCAAAAATATGGTAAATATGAACTTTTGCGTATAAATTTTCAGCATCTTCATTTTAAGCCAGCAGGGGGAGTGCTGAGGTACTCTTCACGTTTTCCAGGCTCCCCTTCTCTGCTTTGTTGAAACCTGTGTATACCAGGGGCGGACTGACCATCCGGGCACTCGGGCACTTCCCGAGAGGGCCCGGGGTCATTAGGGGGCTCCATGAGATGCCCCTGGTACCTTTCAGGTTTTTTTGGGTGTGGTTTGAGTGTGGGCGAGGACACGGGGGCCCCATGATCCTCTATTGCCCGGGGGCCCCATGAGTTGTCAGTCCGCCCTTGGTGTATACTTAGCTGCCCCTTTGAAAATCATTGTCAGGATGGGCAGAGCAACCAAACAAACTCTGCTCGTGGCCGTACAGCGGGTACGCATGTGCGGGCACGTGCACAGGTGCAATCGCATGTACATGCGGGGGCGCACGGGTGCGCATTGGCGCCAGGCAGGCTTCTTATACTACACTGATGCTAGGGCACTTTGGTCTTCATACTTCCTGAAGCATCTACTCATCTGTTCCTGCGCACCGGACGCACATTCGCATCCTCCAGAAGAAGACTCGCCGGGCATTCGTGGCACGCTGCGCTCATGCGTCCCCTGTTACTTCACCAGGGCTCCTGAACCTCTACGCTCAGACTCCATCACCAGGTACATTACACTATGGTGGTAGTCCAGTTCTGGGAGGGTGTCATATGGCATCCTCCCAGAACGCACCCCCTCACGTGTCCTACGGATACAGCTGATCACATCACTCGGTAAAGGGCCAATCACGGAGGTATTTTGACACGTGACCAGCTGTGTCCAATCACAGCTGACCACTATGGAAATATATTTGCCGGTTATTAGCAATACTTTCGTCGCTGTCACAGTGTGAGGAAAGTGCTGCCAGTAACCGGCAACCTTCAAAGCGAACATCTGCACTGATCAGTGCAGCCCCAAAAGTGCCCAACAGTGCTGCCCATCGGTGCCTAGCAGTGCTGCCCTTCAGTGCCCATCAGTGCCACCCATCAGTGCCCAACAGTGCTGCACATCAGTGCCACCCACCAGTGCCCGACAGTGCTGCACATCAGTGCCACCCATCAGTGCCCAACAGTCCTGCCCATAAGTGCCACCATCAGTGCCCAACAGTGCTGCTCATCAGTGCCCAACAGTGCTGGCCATCAGTGGCCAACAATGCTGCCCATCAGTGCCACCCATCAGTGCCACCCATAAGTTTCCAACAGTGCTGCCCATCAGTTACCAACAGTGCTGCCCATCAGTGCCCAAGAGTGCTGCCAATCTGTGCCAGTTAGTGCCACCAGTCAGTGCTACCTATTAGTGCCCTTCAGTGCCGCCTATCAGTGCCCATCATTGCCACCTACAAGTGCTCATCAGAGCCGCATATCAGTGCAACATCATCAGTGCCTCCTCATCAATGTCCACCAGTGCTGCCTCATCAGTACTGCATTATCAGTGCAGCCTATCAGTGCTACCTATCAGTGCCGCCTCATCAATGCCCATCAGTGCTGTATATCAGTTCTGCCTCTTCAGAGCCCATCAGTGCTGCCCCATCAATGCACATCAGTGAAGGAGAAAAATTACATGTTTGCAAAATTTTATAATAGAAACAAATAAAACCTTTTTTTTTTTCTTAATTTTCACTCTTTTTTTGTTTATAGCGCAAAAAATAAAACCCCCCAGCAGTGATAAATACCACCAAAAGAAAGCTCTGTTTGGGGAAAAAAATCATAAATTCATGTGGGTACAGTGTTGCATGACTGCGCAACTGTTATTCAAAGTGCGACAGCACTAAAAGCTGAAAATTGGCTCTAGGCAGGAAGGGGGTAAAAGTGTCTGGTAGGCAAGGGGTTAAATAGGCATGGAACCAAAGGACAGTGCTCAGAGGTGGGTAGGGGGTCAAACCAAGGGAGTGCTTGGAGGTGGGTAAGGGGTGGAACCAAGGGACAGTGCTCAGAGGTGGGTAGGGGGTCAAACCAAGGGAGTGCTTGGAGGTGGGTAAGGGGTGGAACCAAGGGACAGTGCTCAGAGGTGGTTAGGGGGTCAAACCAAGGGAGTGCTTGGAGGTGGGTAGGGGGTGGAACCAAAGAATGGTGCTCAGAGGTGGGTAGGAGGTGGAACCAAAGGACAGTGCTCAGAGGTGGGTAAGGGCTGGAACCAAGAAACGGTGCTCAGAAGTGGGTAATGGGTGGAACCAAGGAACAGTGCTCAAATGTGGGTAGGGGATGGAACCAAGGGACAGTGCTCAGAGGTGGGTAGGGGGGTAGAACCAAGCAACAGAGCTCAGAGGTGGGTAGTGGGTGGAACCAACGGATGGTGCTCAGAGGTGGGTAGGGGGTGGATCCGAGGAACAGTGCTCAAATGTGGGTAGGGGATGGAACCAAGGGACAGTGCTCAGAGGTGGGTAGGGGATGGAACGAGGGACAGTGCTCAGAGGTGGGTAGGGGTGGAACCAAGGAACGGTGCTCAGAGTTGGGTAGAGGATGGAACCAAGGGACAGTGCTCAGAGGTGGGTAGGGGATAGAACCAAAAGACAGTGCTTGGAGGTGGGCAGGGGGTAGAACCAAGGGATAGTGCTCAGACATAAGTAGGGGGTGGAACCAAGGAATGGTGCTCAAAGGTGGGTAGGGGGTGGAACCAAGTGATGGTGCTCAGTGGTGGGTACGGGGTGGAACTAAGGAATGGTGCTCAGAGATGGGTAGGGGGTGGATCCGGGGGACAGTGCTCAGAGGTGGTAGGGGATGGAACCAAGGGACAGTGCTCATCAGGGGCTAGGGGATGGAACCAAGCAACGGTACTCAGAGGTGGGTAGGGGGTGGAACCAAGGGACGGTGCTCAGAGGTGGGTAGGGGGTGGAACCAAGGGACGGTGTTCAGAGGTGGGTAGGGGGTGGAACCAAGGGACAGTGCTTGGAGGTGGGTAGGGATGGAACCAAGAAACGGTGCCCAGAGGTGGGTAGGGGGTGGAACCAACGGATGGTGCTCAGAGGTGGGGTAGGGGGTAGCACCAAGGGACGGTGCTCATAAGTGGTTAGGTGGTGGAACCAAGGAATGGTGCTCAGAGGTGGGTAGGGGAGGGAACCAAGGAACGGTGCTCAGAGGTGGGTAGGGGATGGAACGAGGGACAATGCTCAGAGGTGGGTAGGGGGTGGAACCAAGGGACAGTGCTTGGAGGTGGGTAGGGGGCGCAGACAAAGAATGACTCAGAAGGGGGGAGTTCCATCACCTATTCACTGAATGGAGGTCTGTGAACGTATCGGCCTCCCGTGATGTGGCACGGTGCCGCACAGAGGAATACATGTACATTTATGCCGCGGGATGATTGCAGGCGCCTCAGGGAGACAGATTCTCCCATAAACTGCTTACGAAAAATCCAGATTGGATTCCATCAGCGACTGGGCCTCCGAATACAATCCCTGATCTACGACTTGGTGGCTTTGCGGCCTCCTGTGGTGATTCAATCTATTGTATGCAAATCAGATTAGAGGATGGGGGCGGCTGCGATGGATAAATGGGCGGGGCCTCCCCACGGAGCTCACAGACGGAGATCGGGGACCAGCCAACTCTTAAGACACATGTGAGGAGGCCAAATCATACAAGGGCCATTGGTCATGAAGGGAGGGTCCAAGACATACCCCCCATGAAATGTGTACACATGGCTCCATCTAGTCTGCACGTGGATTGACCGCCCATTATTTCCAGGCTTTCATCTTTCTACCCAACCCCCATCATCCCCATGGTGCCCCCTTAGAGTTTTGTTTTCTTTTGGGTGGAGAGGAGGAGGAAGGTGATGGATCGGTGGGTGCCAAATCTACTCTATAGGTGTGACCCCGCCCCCCCGACATCATCAAATGGCCACACATAATATTCTGTGACTGTAATGCTACATAAACCTTTCAGAAAATGCTGACAATGCTACAGGAGACAGACAGAGACTGCAGACATAGTACAGGAGATGACCAGAGACTGCAGACATAGTACAGGAGATGACCAGAGACTGCAGACACAGTACAGGAGATGACCAGAGACTGCGGACACAGTACAGGAGATGACCAGAGACTGCAGACATACTACAGGAGATGACCAGAGACTGCGGACACAGTACAGGAGGTGACCAGAGACTGCGGACATAGTACAGGAGATGGTCAGAGACTGCAGACATAGTACAGGAGATGGTCAGAGACTGCAGACACAGTACAGGAGATGACCAGAGACTGCAGACAGTACAGGAGATGACCAGAGACTGCAGACACAGTACAGGAGATGACCAGAGACTGCAGACAGTACAGGAGATGACCAGAGACTGCGGACATAGTACAGGAGATGACCAGAGACTGCGGACACAGTACAGGAGGTGACCAGAGACTGCGGACATAGTACAGGAGGTGACCAGAGACTGCAGACATAGTACAGGAGGTGACCAGAGACTGCAGACATAGTACAGGAGATGACCGGAGACTGCAGACATAGTACAGGAGATGACCAGAGAGACTGCAGACATAGTACAGGAGATGACCAGAGACTGCAGACATAGTACAGGAGATGACCGGAGACTGCATAGACCAGAGACTGCGGACATAGTACAGGAGATGACCAGAGACTGCGGACATAGTACAGGAGATGACCAGAGACTGCAGACACAGTACAGGAGATGACCAGAGACTGCGGACACAGTACAGGGAGATGACCAGAGACTGCGGACACGGTACAGGAGATGGTCAGAGACTGCAGACACGGTACAGGGGATGACCAGAGACTGCGGACATAGTACAGGAGAATGACCAGAGACTGCAGACACAGTACAGGAGATGACCAGAGACTGCGGACATAGTACAGGAGATGACCAGAGACTGCGGACACAGTACAGGAGATGACCAGAGACTGCAGACACAGTACAGGAGATGACCAGAGACTGCGGACATAGTACAGTAGATGGTCAGAGACTGCGGACATAGTACAGGAGATGACCAGAGACTGCGGACACAGTACAGGAGATGACCAGAGACTGCGGACACAGTACAGGAGATGACCAGAGACTGCGGACACAGTACAGGAGATGACCAGAGACTGCGGACACAGTACAGGAGATGACCAGAGACTGCAGACACAGTACAGGAGATGACCAGAGACTGCGGACACAGTACAGGAGATGACAGAGACTGCGGACACGGTACAGGAGATGACCAGAGACTGCAGACACGGTACACAGGGGATGACCAGAGAGACTGCGGACACAGTACAGGAGATGACCAGAGACTGCGGACAGTAGTACAGGAGATGACCAGTAGAGACTGCGGACATAGTACAGGAGATGGTCAGAGACTGCGGACACAGTACAGGAGATGACCAGAGACTGCAGACATAGTACAGGAGATGACCAGAGACTGCGGACATAGTACAGGAGATGACCAGAGACTGCGGACACAGTACAGGAGATGACCAGAGACTGCGGACACAGTACAGGAGATGACCAGAGACTGCGGACACAGTACAGGAGATGACCAGAGACTGCGGACACAGTACAGGAGATGACCAGAGACTGCGGACACAGTACAGGAGATGACCAGAGACTGCAGCAGGACACAGTACAGGAGATGACCAGAGACTGCGGACACAGTACAGGAGATGACCAGAGACTGCGGACATAGTACAGGAGATGGTCAGAGACTGCGGACATAGTACAGGAGATGACCAGAGACTGCAGACATAGTACAGGAGATGACCAGAGACTGCGGACATAGTACAGGAGATGACCAGAGACTGCAGACATAGTACAGGAGATGGTCAGAGACTGCGGACATAGTACAGGAGATGACCAGAGACTGCGGACATGGTACAGGAGATGACCGAGAGACTGCAGACACAGTACAGGAGATGACCAGAGACTGCGGACATAGTACAGGAGATGACCAGAGACTGCAGACATAGTACAGGAGATGACCAGAGACTGCAGACATAGTACAGGAGATGACCAGAGACTGCAGACACAGTACAGGAGATGACCAGAGACTGCGGACATAGTACAGGAGATGACCGGAGACTGCGGACATAGTACAGGAGATGACCAGAGACTGCGGACATAGTACAGGAGATGACCAGAGAGACTGCAGACATAGTACAGGAGATGACCAGAGACTGCAGACATAGTACAGGAGATGGTCAGAGACTGCAGACATAGTACAGGAGATGACCAGAGACTGCAGAACAGTACAGGAGATGACCAGAGACTGCAGACACAGTACAGGAGATGACCAGAGACTGCGGACATAGTACAGGAGATGACCAGAGACTGCAGACATAGTACAGGAGATGACCAGAGACTGCAGACATAGTACAGGAGATGACCAGAGACTGCAGACACAGTACAGGAGATGACCAGAGACTGCGGACATAGTACAGGAGATGACCAGGAGATGACCAGAGACTGCGGACATAGTACAGGAGATGACCAGAGACTGCGGACACAGTACAGGGGATGGTGTTTGAACTAACACATATGATCACTCCAATAAGAGTCAATTCCCTAGCACAGCGCCCTCTATCTGTGTTATTAATGAACGTGCTGGCCCAGCTCCTCCGCCCCTCCCCACATACATAGCTTCCACGAATGTATAGTATTCTCCAAATGTGATCCAAGATGGCGGCAGCCAGTAGCAGCCTCAGGGATATGTACACATGACATACATTCCATGCACATACACGGCAATTGTCCGGCGACAGGTTCTCATTAAATCCTGGAAGCGCAGAGATCTGACACCGATGGATTCATTTCGTCCCAACAAAGAGAAATTTACACTATAAAGTCGGCCACGTTGCGCCTTCTAATTAACATTCCTGCGTTTTCCGCTCAGGAAAAAAAAATGAAAAATAAAGCGCAAATCAGATCTTTCCCTCCATGGCGGCGGTGATTAAACTTTCATTTTTAATCTGAGAGCGACGTGATTCTAAACACATTGTGACTGGAAGAGGGGTGATTGGAATTTCCATCGTCTCCCCGGACGCAATCATCCCTTCCTAATTATAATAAAGGAGCTCGGCTCCCCGGCCGGACCCCGCGCTCCGCGCTCTGATATATTTGTTACATTTTATACATAGAAATGAATTATTTGTTACCGCGGCGAGGAGGGAGGCGAGCTCGCCGTCGCTGTTATCAAACTGATGTATTTCATTACCGGGGAGATGGAGAATCAACGCTGCATTCAATGTCATCATTTGCCTAACAAATGGGTCGGATTATGTATTTAGGAGCGTTGGATGGAATGAAATTATTATTATTATATATTAAATATTATTAATAATAGAAATATACACATTTTAATTAATAAGAAGAAGAATATATTAAACGGTTTATAGTTCTGTTATTATTAATAGTATTATTGTTATTATTATTATTATTATTATTTATTATTTATTATTATTATTAAAAGGTTTATATTTCTGTTATTATTAATAGTATTATTGTTGTTATTATTATTATTATTATTATTATTATTATTAAAAGGTTTATATTTCTGTTATTATTAATAGTATTATTATTATTAATATTATTATTAATAACAAAAATATAAACCTTTTAATAAATATTATTATTATTATTGTTGTTATTATTATTATTATTGTTATTATTAATAGTATTATTATTATTATTATTATATTTAATAAAAGGTTTATATTTCTGTTATTAATAATAACAATAATAATAATAACAACAACAATAATAATAATAATAATAATAATATTTATTAAAAGGTTTATATTTCTGTTATTATTAATAGTATTATTATTATTATTATTATTAATATTATTATTAATAACAAAAATATAAACCTTTTAATAAATATTATTATTATTATTATTATTATTATTGTTGTTGTTATTATTATTATTGTTATTATTAATAACAGAAATATAAACCTTTTATTAATAATAATAATAATAATAATAATACTATTAATAATAACAATAATAATAATAACAACAACAATAATAATATTTATTAAAAGGTTTATATTTTTTGTTATTAATAATAATATTAATAATAATAATAATAATACTATTAATAATAACAGAAATATAAACCATTTAATATATTATTATTATTATTATTATTATTATTAATAATTAAAAGGTTTATATTTCTGTTATTAATAATAATATTAATAATAATAATAATAATAATATATTAAACGGTCGTCTCCCCCGTACCTTTCCCTGACATGCCACCCCGTATCACCAATGATGGTGGAAAACTGACGTGCTTTCTTCAAGCAGTCGTCTTTTCATTGGCACCGAACAAAAGTTCCGGCATCATCACCCTGCCCAATGCAGATGGGTGATTCATCATGGAATATCACCGTCATCCAGTCATCCACAGTCCATGATTGCTTTTCTTTAGCCCCTTGTAACCTCGCGGTTTTTTCTTCTGTTTGGGTGTTAATGATGGTTTTTGTTTGGTTTTTCTGTAAATCTCACTGCTTTTAGGCGACATTGACTCCAGTTTCTGCCCAGTTGTTCCTCATTTGTTTTGTTGTACACTTTCTGTTTTCGAGGCATATTGCTTTTTAACCGCTTCCTGTCCGCCCTAGAGCAGAAGTACTGCAACAGGGTGGCACGGGTGCGCAAAATCACACATATATATATATATACACACACACACATATATACACACACACACACTTTTTTTTTGATTTTTTGTCGTTCCGGGCAGGGGGCGCGCGTGAGGCCAACCTGCTCCGCCATTCGCAGCCTCGGCTGTCAATCACCGGGTCCCGCTTCTCGTCTGTCCTATAGCAGAAGTACTGCAACAAGGAGGAACTGGTGCGCAAAATCACACATATATATATATATATATACATATGATTTTGCAGTACTGGGTATGGGGGCGCGTGTGAGGTCCCGATAAGGGGCGGACTGACAACTCGTGGGGCCCCCGGGCAATAGGGGATCATGGGGCGCTTGTGTCCTTGCCCAAATTCAAAAAAGCCTATGAAAAAGGTACCAGGGGCATCTCATGGGGCCCCCTACTGACCCTGGCCCTCAGGCAGTGCCCAAGTTATCAAATGGTCAGTCTGCCTCTGGTTCTGATTCATGTGATCACTGATTGGTCAATCAGTGATCACATGAAGAGTAGTAAGCAAGATGTCACTTCTGACATCATTGCTTACTACGTGTGAAATCTGTGAATGATCACAGAGGTCACATGGTACAGGGCTATTCACAACAGCCTTGTACCATGTGACAAGCTGTGACCAATCACAGCTCACACAGTATTTCTCAATGCCTGCAGGAATGCAGCCAGAGAGAAGGAGAAATGATTGCTTTTACAGCCTTTATGGGTGTAAAA